TTTCTAAATATCCTGTTTGTGATCCTTTTTTTTGGCACTTTTTATAAGCATGCCAAGAACTGTGGCCAGATCCCCAGGAGCAAAGAAGAAAAGGCTTGTGGAGCGTGCAAGACACTTGCAGATTTTTCAAGATATCATCTTGCACTGGCCATGAGACATGTTTCTAGTTCAAACCCTAAAAATAAACACCTATTAATCACCTAATTGTAGCATTAGCTGACCAGAGCCTTGAGTGCTAGGACCCCAGCCTAACCCCTCAGTGGTGTGTCTCACATTTCTGTCACCCAGGATAAGAAACAGTTTGAAGATAATATTTCTTAAAAAGAAAATAAAAGAAATCTACAAGCAACAAATGTTCATAAGAGCTTTACCAGCTCCCCTTTTTTCTGATATATAACAAATTGAACAATGAGCCCTTTATCAGAGTCCTTCAAAGAAACATAAAAGGGTTAGAGTCATCTAATGTAGTACTAATTTTAACAAACTAATACCATTAGTGAAGGGATGCATATCATAGACTAATATTTTCATATGTTGTCTTACTTGTCTTTTTTAATAGATGGTATTACTCTTACTAGTTTAATGAGTTGAAAATAAATCCCTTTATGCTTTGGTGCGGCACTTTAATCTTTTGTTTTGTTACAAAATCGTATTTCCAATCGTATAAAATTATGCCTTGCTTTTCTATAAGTTTACATTTTTAGTAGGTGTGATTTTGCTGTCATTTGTCAAACTTATAAAAATTCAGTAAAGAATGTTTAAACGCACCTTGGACAGCTGTTATTTACTTATACTAGGTTTATGAAATTTTAGACCCAACTTTAGTGAATGTGCAAGTATTTTTCAACTTCTTGCAAAAAAGACTAGGAGATTTTTTTTAAACTCAGTTAATTGCAAACAAATAGTATTTTTTGCATTTTTGTTTATTAAAGCACCTGCCTAGAAACACTGTACAAATCCTGCTAGCTAATGTGGTGTTTGAAAACCAAATTTGAAAGATTCGGGATACTCTCCTGAATGAATCTGAGAAAACCAAAATCTATTTAAACACAGTGAAAGGGTACTTTCCGTATGTTAAAGCCTTAAATTTAAGGAATTTGCACTTACAAGTGATCCAAAAATGCAAGTGGACCACTTACATCTTTCTCTAACGGCAAGTACTTATAAAAGTGTATGTGTGTAACTCAGTCTTGCTTCACATGAAGATGTCTTTACTTCATGAAATAGTGGGAAAAGTATACTACTTTAGAGAACTTTATGAGAGGGACCGTTACCAGGATAGTCAACACTTGTCAGACCTGTAATTTGTAATTTAATTATGCTGCGATTATGTGTGGGTGAAGGAGACCTAATAGCAGCTTACTATCAAAATACCTACTTTTTGTTTTGTTTTAAAGTGATGTGCTATCATTAAGCTGCCGTGTAACCACCAGGCACCTGCTTAAAAAAAAAGAAGGCAAGTACTTATTACATTTAATGAGTGTATATTTTGGAACCCTATTGCGATAACATCTAACATACTGTACCTTACGTGTTTTCGGGTCAATAATGCTGCCTTTAATCTACTCGTGTTTCAGTTTGAAAAATAAGGTTATGTTGTTATTTCCCCCCACACATTATCCTTAAAATCAACCAAAACATCAAGCTTTTCAGAATTGTTTGTCTAGGAAATACTGAAGACACCCAACAAATGAATGCTCAAATATTTATATTCATAGCATCAACATTTTTTATTCTGGTAACAGTATTGTCTTCTGGGCACTCTGCTTAGCTGCAGTATTTTGTTCTCACATAGTACATGTAGTATATTTTATTATTCTTAATAGCATGTCCTACGCTGACTTACTATAAGAACTGAACAAGACGTCTACAAGGATACTTGATGCAAGTATTCAGCAGACTTCTTAGAATCAAGAATAAAACATGAACCAAAGGACATGAGAAGAAACTGTGGGCATGGGCATTTAAATCTAAGAACAAGTGGCACTTCTATAAACAAGGAGGTATAGGAGTTTGGAATATGCCATGGTGTTGAAGCTGATGTATTGGGTTCTTTAAAAAAAAAAACTGGATGTTTTGAGTGATCTTTTTCCATTCTTACTTTTCTTGTGTTTTTATTTTGACAAAGTTATTGAAAGGGAAATGAAACCTGAATTCTCTTATTTTGGTACTTTTAATGTAATAGTTGAATTTTAATTTGTGTCAGGTGTCAGCTCACAGCTCAGACCTCTATATGACTATCACCATGTCCATTATCAAGTATTGTTCTACTGTAGATTTATATTTTACGGCCTTTGGTAAGGAAAGTCTCTCTCTTACTTTTTGTATTACACATTCATCCACAATGTAAAAAAATAAAAAAGCAGAGCTCAAACAATCTCCAAAGATATCTTATGTAAATGTTTAGATTTTGTTTTCATAACATTTCCATAAAAAGTATAGTGGTAGATCCAGTTGTGTGTTCAAGTATGAGAACCTAAAAGAAAAACCTCAGATATTTTTTTTAAATATTCCGTTCAGCTATGTGTGACTTTAGAGTGAACTTGCTGTGCATCTGTCAGCCTTCTCTGGGCTGTTAGTTTTGGCTTGTATGCTGAGACATACAGCACTGTAAATCATTTATTGTAAAATGTAAGGCAGACATGCAGTTGTATGTACCACTTTGTATTCTCAGCTGAAAGAAGACGTTTTGTTGTTTTATTACTGTGGGGTTTGTAATTTATGTTTTTGGTAAGATAATCTTGCAGAGGGACACCACTGGTTAAGATGTTTAATTAAGTAGTCTCAGTAGGTATTCATGAGGCTGGTGTGCAAAACATATCATGACGCTTATCCTTTTTTTTATTTGATTGTCACTGCTTTTTTATTAACTCGGTTTAAAAGTCTGAACTTCCTGATGGATTATATAGTCCACAGGGCTATTTCCTGAGAATGTCTGGTGGGACTTAACCATGCTATTTATTGTCTAAGGACGCTGTATCACATTGTTGAGACAGTTATTTTTATTTTTTAAGAAAGTCTTCTGAAAGGCTTATTTACTTTATCAGATTTGAAGTATAAAAACATGTAAATGTCATTTCACAGGAGGATAGTCTAGCGTCACTGATTTTAACATGGGTTATTAGATGACAGAAAGTAACCTGGCAAAGTTACTTTTCTTACAATAACCTGTTTAATTGCTAGGATGTTTCTTAAAACGTTAACATCACCCATTTTTCAAGACGTATGATGTGAGCCTTGAAATTCAAAGCATGCTATACAAATACTACTGAGTAGATATGTTCACTTTAACTTGGCTGTCTGGGCTTTCCTTTTCATCCCCAGTTCCTGAGAGTTGGCGTGTTATGTTATTTATAGTGCTAAAGCAAATAACATTGCAGTCAATGCAGAGTCAGTGTACTTTAAGTGTTAGTGCAAATTAGACAGCTGTACCTTCTGTATTATAGCTCACTAGCAAAATATTCACTGTAGTCCATTCTTCAAGAAAAATAGAACAAGCTTAAGTGCTGGGCCCAATCTTTTAAATGACACATTTCTGTGATTCATTTCTCACAAATAATTCCCTAAACAGATAATCGCCTGCTTAAAAAGTAGAATGTATTATTTATAGTGTTAATGAGGACGTTTAGTGTTGAACATTTAATTGGAGTTGTATTCTCTGATACCACTTGCTGTTTGCTTCCTTATTTTTGTCTTTTCTGCCTCCAAATCCATCTATGATGTAAACAAAATAAAGATATAAGAACATAACAAGGGTTACAAATGAGATAAAGCAATCTGCACCATCTTGCTCTTTTAGTCGTTGAGTTGCTGAGTGAATCCAAAAGTTCGGCCAGCTGTGTCTTGCAAGAGTCCAGAGGCTTGGTAGCCTGTTCCAAACTCCTGCCACTTTTTGTATAAAGAAGCATTTCCTGTTCTGCATTCTTAATTGCCTTTTAGTTTCCAATTGTAACCCCATGCCCTTGTTTTAGTACTGAGTACGAAATAGAGCCTTAGGTTAACTACATCCCTTTGGGGTTTGGCACATTTGGATCAAATCATTCAGTCTATTTTGTTCTAGACTGAAAAGATTTATCTCCTTTAAGCCATCTGTATCTGACAATCCCATATGAAATATATGAACTGTTGTGAAATTACAGGTGAAAAAGCCTTCTGGTTGTGCTGTTTTTGTGATATGTTCAGAATTCCACTTGGTTTGCAGACCTGGATGAAAAATTAACATGTTGCTTGGACCTTCAATAGACTCTACCTGAGACTTCAAGTTTGTCCCAATCTGTGTACCTTGATTAATCCCAGAAAACACTTTACAAAGAAAATTCCAACATGTCCTAATACTTATGCTTATGCAAGACATGAACCTTTAGTAAAACCACAATTATTTTTTTTAAATAACAAAACATTGTTAAGTAATGTCCTATGGATTACATCTCATTTACTTATCTGATGATATGTCTTATTCAGCTATCATACTTCCTGGAGGACAAACAAAGATAAAAAACTAAGTAAACAAATTATTTTAATCTACGTTCTTTTAATTCTGAAGGGTCCTAAAGGGCTTATATAAGAGGGGGGCCACTTCATCTACCACTGAAGTGTATCTCCTACCTGGGTGACACCAGAAACTATGCACCAGCTGGCACTCTGTATAGCAGATCAGGTGGAGAAGTGATAGAACTTACTTCACTGGTTGAATTAAGGCAAAACCTGAGACTCCTCAGAGTGGAGTTGAGCTAGGAAAGCAGGGTTAACACCTGTAAGTCTAACGAACAGTCAATGGCAAAATATTTAGGGTCTAGGTTTAACATCTCATAAGAATGAGAGAACACTCTACAGTTCTATCTCTCCTGTCACCTTAATGGGTCTTTTGTTGGGAAATTCTGATCCAGAGCAGAGTGACACCCAAGCTACCTGATTTTTTTATACGGTCTCCAATTCCAATACTGACTTGGCCCAGCCCTGCCTACTCTAGGAGAATTTAAAAAGCTTTCTTTGTCTTGCAGGTTTGGTCCTGGATTAGTTATCTACTGGTATGGATTCATAGAAGAGCTCGATTGTCATCGTGAACGTGGCATCCTGCTTAAAGACTGCTTCCCTACAGACATTGTAACTTTATGCCACGGTGCAGGCCAAAGCTAATGGTGGAAGAGGAGAGAGGGGTGAATCCGGAAGCAATTTTCCTTTCCTGCAGTGCAAACTACTGGCAAACATCTGTCCTGAACTTCAGATGAACTCCTGCTGGCCAGGGTCATGCTAATACTGTTTTAGAAAAACATACCCAGAGTTTCTGTTTAACTTCAGCCCTATGCTTGTGTGAGCAGCCAAAACTGACAGACACATCCCACTCATTATCACCAGCTCTGTCTCTGTCGAATGGTTTATAGATAGTCATAATCTGTCTTCCTTCCGAATTCCTTCTTTCTTCTTACTTGACAAGGGGCAAACACCAGAAACCAAAGGTGTGGCCTTTTCAAAGTTTGCTTCAGAGCTTTCTGCCCCCCTTCTCCTCCCTTTCGATCTCACACCACTTTGCCTATCTGATTTAGCGGATCTGTTATTTCTCATTTTGTGGTCATTTTGATATATTTAATTTTATAGGTTAACATAAAAATAGACCGATTTTACCAATAGATGGCCTGTTTTCATTTGTTTTTATAATAGCAGTTAAGAACATTAATTTAAATTCAATTGTTACTTGCATATTAATACCCATGAGACAGAAATTAGGAAGATGGTCACACGTTATTTTTGCTGTGTTTTTCTATGAGATCTGGTTTTGCTTCCATGTTTGAAAACCATGATACCGTGGGATATTTCAGTGTATCTCATTATCACAGTACTTTAGTTTCTAGGTGGTAAACCCTGTTCAACAAATGTGGCATTAGGTCTATGACACAAATGTGCATTTAGTCTACAGGTTTGTAGTAGCTAGCATGGAAAGTAAACTTTTAATATCCATTCCTAAAAGCCTATTTTTATTTCCCTGAGACAGCTTTAATTTCCTTTGAATAGTTATTTTTTGTATAAGTCTTTAATCTAAATGACACCCAATTTACATGGAATCAGTAATTTTGAGAGCTGCATTTTTTTTCAATGTTGTACTCCTTGGAATGATAACTTTACAGCCAGGACTACTTTTATGAGGCCGTCTCTGGTGAGTGCTAATGGAATAAACATTGCTAAGCCAGAGAGCAGAAGTGAGCATAAAATTGAATGATGTTTTCAGTGGCATATATAGACTGCCACAGGGGGTCCTTCTTAGAAGAATGAAAAAAATTTTTGCAATGAGAATAAAATTTTTAGTTTTATACAGTAACAGAATATCTAGTTGGAGTTAACAGAAAGTCATTTTTTCATGTTGTGTAAAATAACACCAAATTTCTCTAGACCAAAATGTATTGAGTCCTGCCTGGCAAAGCATTCATTATTTTCACCCTGCTTAAATACAGCTATATTGACTGTGATGATGCACATAACTGAGTGCAAGAATTTTTACTAACCTTAATATCTGGTGTGGAGTTAATCAGTGTAAATCCACAGTAATTATCTCTTTAAAAGTGTACATTTTTAAAGTTTAACTTTATTATAAAGGAAAATGACATATAGAATTTCAGAACTGTTTTCACACCATTGAATACTGTTGTTCCAAAAGAGGAATATTCCAGCTGTTTGTGATGCTTCAAACAAGCAAGTGCAATTTTGTATTTTTTGTGTTGATTAGACAGCCGTTGTATTAAATGCGTGCTCATAAAAGAAAAACGCATACATTAAAGTGTCACCCAATGTCAAATGATTTCCTAATAAAAAGGGATGCACTTGTACAAGGTCAATTGAATGTTTTGTGTGCCACCAGAACACAGCTATTGAATAACTCATGATAATCCAATTTTGGCTTGATATTTCAAGCCATGCAACATCAGTCAAAGGGAACATTCAGAAATGGAACTGTTCAACAAAATGTTTAAAGGAATCTGTTAAGATCCCTGGGTCATGCAGAAACCTTAGTTTTAATATGTTGCCTGTGATTTTAATAAAATGACTTAGATTGTCTAGTTCATTTTTCATCCTGGAGAAATTACTGCTCTGCCACTGGCATGTGCATCTGGAGGGAGGCTTAAATATCAGCAAACTGTTGCGTGATTTGTTACGTTTAAACCTCTAACCTTTAGCCACTCCTATGTAGTCATGATCCTGAGATGAAGACCTGGGTTACACAGAGGTCAGAGATAACCCATGCTTTCCATGGTCATGCCCTTCCATACGGGAGCGAAGCAACTTTCCCCCAGTGCATAGTAAATGTTACCTCATTGCATGTTACAGGAATGCTTAGACATCATTTTATAGCTCTTTCATGGTCAAAAAAACAAAGTTTTAAGGTGGGAAAATGTAATTATGAATAAAACAGTAAACAGCAGATTCAGTTCCTCTCGTGTTTTAAGCCTTCCTGCCATTGTTTCTAAGATGGCTGTTTCACAAAGAGTAGCTTAGGTCAGCTACTATAAATTAGTTTCAGCACACAATGCTAATGAAATAAATCTATTTTAAAATGAGATCAAAGGAGTTGTGATGCAGAAGAGATTTCCAGGCCATATATAATAGTTGTTCCATAAAGGTTTTTTTAAGTATTTCTTTATTTTCCCGACTGTTTTTCTATTGTCTCTATCAAGGTGCAGTGTTCTTATCAGAACAATGCGATTCAGAAAGCTTTCCAAATGTTTATTTGTGTCTTGAGTACTTGATGTCTCTGAATGCGAACGCGATAATCATCCTCACAGCTTGTATACTATTAATTTAGAAAGGAACAGCAGAATGGCCTTCACAGACAGAGAAGTATGCCTCCATTAATCAGCAGCTTGTAAAATATATGGTGTTTGGGTGTTTGTTTTACTTTGAAATATGGTAGAGCTAGACTGTGCGTTTCCTCCTCTAGATCCTGATAGAACTAATATTCTCTAGTTGCAGGAAACTGCTGCACATATAATATAGGTATATTATCGTTATGCTAAAGCATTTGTACGGGTAGCAAAGCCAAGAGACCCTTGAAGCACTTCACATTTAAATTAAGCTCAGAAAGTACAAACAGCAGTGGATTAGTTCACTGACACTGCATTAAAGACTTGCTTAATAGCACCATGGGATAATAAACCAGTATATTCCTTATCCATCTATTTCTGTTAAAAACAGAACGGGGTTTATTCAACAAGACATCTTTAGTAAACTGTACATGGTGCATGTGTAACCTATCAGGTTTTTTGCCAAGATCCATTTGGTTTTACTATTAATGTTGTTAAATCTTTATTGAATTCCACACACAGATGTCTTGCAAAGCAAGGGTGAATGTCTTTTCTATTTCAGTGAGAATCTTGTCGAATCAAGAGGGCTAGCTTCCAATTACTATGCCAAGTGGAATAACAGATATTGTCCATCCATCTCTTTTCCATAACCATTTATCCATAGAGGGTTGTGGTGAGCTGGAGCCTAACCCATCAGGCACTGGACACAAGGCTGCAATACACCCTGAACAGAACATCAGTCCATACAGGGGGCAGCTTGGACTCTTATTAACCAGCAACAAAGTTTGGACTATTGGAGAAAACCATAGTACCCAAGGAAAGACCTCTGCCTCTTGGGGGTAATGCCCTTTCAGCCCACACTGAATTTCCCTTCAGCACTATATTCAGGTTTATTTTAATTGTCTACCATGCTCTTCCTGCTGTGCTGGATTTCTAATGAGATTAGAACTAGATATTGAAGTTCTGACAGTATACATTTGAAGAGGTTAGTCTGCCCAGTCTTTTGTTATATGGACTCTCCTCTCCAATAATCATTTTAGGCACCAGAATATGCTTAAAAGTTTATTTCAAACTCCTTTTCCCCAGTAGGAGTTGCTGCAGTATATAGTAAAATGTGTCTTTTCATGAGGTTTTAAGACTTACAAGCCAAAGGAGATTAAACAATATATTTAAGATGCAGCAAATAGTCTGGGTAATATAGCATTTTGTCTTCTCAAGAGCGTGATCGGATATTTTAGTTTTTGTAAACACCACTTTCAAATTGATCATAAAAACATATTTAGCCGAGACAAAATGATTTTAAGAAACGAAAGGGTTCCTCATAAATCCTTTTGGTGAATAGTAGAAAAATTGTGAATAGTAGAGCACTGTTAATGTGTTATGTATTTAAAGAGATTCTAGACTGAAGTACGGACTCTGACAGGAAGGCCCTTTGTGAAAAGAGTTCACAAAACAAGCGAAGCGTCTGCAGAAGAGGAACAGCAAAGAGTGACAGGCAGCCAATGTCATTTCTAACACTACTGTGACGCCACATCAATTATATAGGATCATGCAGAGGTTAATTCCACCCTGAAAAGTGGAAAGAAGAGAATTTTTCAGTTGTGGAACTGCCTTCAGGTGCACATGCTTTTCTATGTGAAATTGGGCTATACTTCCCTTGCAGCTCCTGTCTTGATGCAGATCCCCACTCGAACCTATATAGGATTGTTACTGATAAGAATGATGTCAAATGTGTTTTTGAATTGCTGTTAATTATAAATAATACACTTTCAAATAATATCAGTAATATGTGTCCCTCATCATAGCTGCAATATAATCTGCAATTGTGCTGTTAACTGGCATGCTTCTTATTGCTTTTATCGATACAGGTGCAGTTCTGATCCTAATGGCTGAAAAATGGTTGTAAGCTGTGATGCCAAGAACGGATTTTAATTAACACTATTATGTTTAAGGATTAAGTTAACTTATGAGACAGACGAGACAGTAGCAGAAGAAATATGTTAACGTGCATTAAATATTAATTCAAGGTACTCTTTCTTGGCAGCGTAATAAGATCTTTATCACTGTGCTAATCTTTGGATACAGTCTCCTATGTGTTTAGCCAGGAAGAGACCACTTTGCTTTGTTGTTTTTTTTATTATTTAGCTCTGCTTTAGATTTCCTTTTAAAACTTTTTTTTTTTAATTAGGGGATTTTGCATTTAATGAAGGACAATCTGAGTTCCAAAAATAAGCTTTTCTTACAGTACGAACGAATCAGATGGTAAGTGCTTCTTATATGTTGGCTGTTGAGCTGCAGTCTGAAAGGTCAGGTCTGAGTGGCATTTGGACCTTGGCAGACATGACCTAGTTTTCAAGTAGACTTGCTCCAGAGCAAGCAAGCAAGATATCCTCAGTCTACACTGTGCATGCTTGTAGAGGAATACTAATCGAGAACAGCATGACATTCTAAAGACATGTGATTAAAAATATGAGTTAGGAAAATGTGATTCTGTAGCTGGAGGGGGTTACAGAAAATTTGATACAGGAAAAACAAACCAACCCAGCATACCCTCCCACAAGTTAGTGATTGTAAGAGAGCTCTCCTGACGAGAGCTGTCAGACGCTTGTTATTATGAAATAAATGTTCTAGGAGGGTGCTTGAGCCTTCGATTAGAAAGAAAGCAAACTGAAACCTAATTCTTAAACAGCATCCAAATGGTATTGGAGCCACTAATGCCTCTGTTACAAGTCAGTTCATCACTGCAGGCGAATCAGCCTCTCATTCATAAATATTCCGATTTGTCAAAACAACCTCAATGATCATTTATCATAATGCAATAAATCCTGGAAAGGAATCATAACATAAAGATGACTCCTTATTATGTATAGCCCTGGCTAATTTTAGATGTGTTTGAAAGGGCAGATGTGATTGGTTATTTTATTAATCTGTTGCCACGAGCAACATAATATTTTGCGTTGGAATTGTTGAGGGCAGTAATGGGGAGGTAGTCGGGTGCGTGGTTATTTGGGATTCTTTATGAGGTTTGTGAACCTCAGTGTGGTAAGCAATTAACTCCTTTGCTTCAAGCATTCTGTTGGCTGCTGCTTGTTTATCTTGTGATGTGTGTGTGCGGTTTGTCACATTTGTGCCAACCATGGTATTGTTTGACTGCCTGCAAGGACAACAACAGCTCAAACAAAGGCGTTCTGGTTATGATCCACAACATCCAGCAGAGTTTGCGGCTGCTTTTTTTAAGCACTGAACCTGAAGAACAGAAGATTGTGTGTAAAATAAATAAACCATTCGAACAAATGCTGTAAGGTTTGCTAGTTATTAAAATTGTGACAGCATTACACTATTCTTATTGATGGCTTCTTTGAATGGTTCCTCTTTTTTCTAGTCTTCACAATTTGGTTGCAGATGCATAATTTAGTTTGTAATTAAGGACAATAATCTGTAAGTTTCATTTACTACTGATGTGCCAATATTAGTTACATGCTGTAGAAATGTATTTGAATCCCCAGCCTTGAAATGTGCCATGCTGATTCACAGGGCCTATTAAAGACATCCTACGGTTTGAGTCTGGTAGTGTGAGAAGACCCAGGAATTAGTTAGAGACCTACCCTACTAGTTTTAATTTAATCTTAGCATGGAAAATGTTCTGTTGAGCTTTACACCACAAATTACAGGGAGTTGGTTGGATCATTCCAGAGTGGTGACAGATTAAAAGTAGCAACATTACTGAAGGAAAGCTTTTGGCGGTCCATCTCTCATTCGCAAATTACCACCATAAAACAATAGCATGGGATTATAAAATTAACTTCTATGTGGTAAAAGAAAGTATTAAGTATTCACATTTGGGTAAAATAATAAAAAAACACTGTTATCTTTTCTGCAATGCTCATATTGTTGCCAGTATGTCATCTGCTTCTCACAGCAATTTTTGACACCTTTGTTGGGTTCCAATGCTTTCTTTAAAAGCAGCTGAACTCAGCCAGCAGTCACAGTTAATAAGGCAGCTATGAAGCTGCACAGGTAGATCAGATAAGTCAAGCTGGAACACTTTATCTGAGTTTGAAAGCCTTAGGATAACATTTGGTTAGGCTTACTGACTGATTTGTGAAAACGTCTGCCACTCTGGGTGGCTAGCTTACTGGCTGTACTTTGAAGATTTATTCCAGTTTTACTTTTTTGTATTAAAAAAACATGCACATTCAAAAGTGCTTTAAATAGAAAATGGTTGTGTGTAGTGTTACAGCTCTACAAGTCTTTTTTCCCTATCCTTTGCCTAGCATTGTCCACTTCTACAGAATCTTTGGTTTTAGGATTTTGGGAATTTTGGGGGGATTGGATTTTTCTTTATTTCAGCGTTCTTTTACACAAATACTACATACTTGTTCTTATTATTGAAGGATCAGTGTAGTGCAGGTTTGGGCCTTGTTACTCTGCAACAGGAGCTTAATTCCACCTTGTCCTGTGTTTGATTTCAGTTAAACCAAGCCAAGTAAGCTAAATGAGCACCTAAAACTATGTCAAATTCTGCTATCTATTCATTTACAGTGACAGTCACCTTAGTTTTTCATTCTGAACGGGATGTGTGA